TGCGCTGCGCGTGTCGCGGTGTGCGGCGCGGGCCCTCCTGTGCGCCGGGTGGCGGTGCGCGGCCGGGCCGCCCGTCCGCGGCCACCTGCCGGCGCCGCCGGCCGCCGCGCGCCACTCCACCCAGCGCCGCGCCGGCCCCGGAGACGGTCCCTGGCCCGGCTCCGGCGGCGGCCCAATGTCTCGCGAGGGCGCGGGCGCGGGCCACGGCGGCGCCCTGTGGAGATCTGCGGCCGGTCGGCACGGGCTGGGCGGCACCGGAGCGGCGGGCGGCCCCGCGCGCCACCCAGCGCACGCCTGCTAGTTGGGACGACGTTGAGACACTATCTCGATGTATTCCTGGAACGGATGGCCGGGTCAGTGACCTTTGGTTGGGAGCCGGCTGAGAATAACTGCACTCAGCTGTCACTAAAAACAACGAAACGACCCGAGTTTAATTGCTTTCCGACTGAAGACCGACCAACAAAGCGCAGCTGCGGCGCGCCCGGCATTTCGCCGAAAACTGTTGAAGACGACAAACACTCAAGCACAAGATCTTAAGTTCGTAGTCTTATAGCGTATGCACAGCGAATTGCGGTCATTAAAAATATCTGTCAATTTAAGTTTAACAGAGTATTTAACAATGGATAAAAAGGACAACAGAGACTGAATTACTACATCAGATTCTACCTAATAGGTACACAACTCAAAGCGGAGCCGAGCAGTCGCCGGGCGGCGTTTCTGACTCACGTCGTATCCCATGCCGAGCTTGCAGCTCTGGTAGCGGGTGAGTTTGATGCTCTGTCGCACCTCCTCCGTGATGGCGCCCCTCCAGCCGCCCTTGTTCAGCAGGGAGTCGATGGTGCGCACGTGGTCCCAGCCTGGAGCGCACAGAGAGTCAGTCAGGTCGGTGGGTGTGTCAGGTGGCGGAACAGCGACAATGTTAGGAACGGATATTGAAAGGCATAAAAGCTACAGCATGTTCTTTCATTAATTTCTTGCTAAACGTCCTGCGATGACGATTTAATTCATAACGAAGAAACTGTCTGACGTGTTACATTAAGCGTACTCCAGTAAACGATAAAAACAAAAGCAGCTAAACGATAGGTCTTCGCCGCTCCGCACACGTCCCCACCCCAAATAAACATTCACCACCCTTATACAAGTATGTACTGCTTACCTCAACTACATCCCCACAAAACGCTATCCTCGTCCCAGCTCGCCGGTCCTTTGGCGGCGCGTCTCACCCTGATCGGGCGCCACCTCCGGCAGGTAGGTGGAGGTGCGCCGTCGGCCGGCACACACAAACTCTATCCGAATGCCGTGCTTGCCCAGCTCCCAGTCGCGGTAGTCGCGCGCCGGCTCGAAGTTGGTCAGCAGCGACACATTCAGGTGCAGGCGCGGCATCTCGTCGCGGGTGATCGGCTGGAACCGACGGTCCCGGAACGCGCTGCCGGGGAGAGGTGCAGAGGTCAGCGGGGTGGGTGATTGCCGCTACAAATACGTAACTTAGAAAAATATCGAGCCGGAGTATGTATATACTAGGTATCTACAAAAGGGAAGCATCGCCGTTCGGCGACGAAATGACAATCAAATGTTACAAAAACACTACATCATTTGCAGAAACGGACTCCGATCGTTACAAGTACACCATTCATATAACTAGCAGTAGCTCTACCCAATGCCTAAGTATCACGCACCTTCTTTTCAGCTATCCAGCTCACCTAGTGAGAGCGTAATCCTTGAGGCCGGTATGAAGGTCCATCGAGTCGAAGGTGCCGATACAGCCCCGCAGGCGTCGGTCCCGGCCGATCTGCCACGTCACGAACAGCGGACTGCCGAGCGAGAGGCGACGCGGAAAAAGGTTAGAAAATGGTCGACAAGCTGCCGAGCGACAGGAGCGGCGGAAAAAAGAACGAGGTGACAAACGGCTTACGGCAATGTCAATACCACAGTCGGCAAGGCTTTAGTTCCAATCTTAATATGGAAAGATGTAAATTCAGATGTGTCCGAAAATCATATCGGATTTTGTGAGTGTTAAGCAGAGAGATTACAAGAGCAGTTCAACAAAAGCGATTGCATGATGACTTGATAAGTCAGCACATAATGCATACGTTTTTTTTGCAGCAGAGAAAACTCGAAACCAGTCTACGTCAGTCGACGTACTCGTATTTTTCTTAAATATTCCCGAGAGAAAAATGCGAGGCATTATCGCCGAGGTGCTAGCTAAATGTTGCGTAAATCTTCACCATCCCTCATTGGAAGCGTACCCACTACCCAGTCAGTCGTCTGAACTGGGAAATGAACTTACTAAGAGTCATTTGGGAAGTTCGGCGTCGGGGGCGAGTCATTGTGCAGAGAAGCGTAGAGGACATCGAAGCAGTAGACACACATTTCCTTGGTGACTGCCGAGCGGTTTTCATGGTAGCCGTTACAGGCCATTCCCGAATTCATCTTCTGCTTCTTTGTCCCACAGCAGCTGGTGGACATCATCACTGAAAGACCTGGAACAAATTGGCGACACAGTCTTGAATATGTTTCAACGCTAACTTGAGAGACATTGTAACAAATAGTAAGAAAATTAACCTCACTCTCATTCTATCTAAAAGTAAATTCCGGATTCGAAATAAAACAAACTTTTTGAGAAGCTTTCGGCATTGCGCCATCATCAGCTCTGCTGATGATGGCGCAGAGCTGATGATGGCGCAATGCCGAAAGCTTCTCAAAAAGTTTGTTTTATTTCGAATCCGGAATTTACTTTTAGATAGAATGAGAGTGAGGTTAATTTTCTTACTATTTGTTACAAATTGGCGACACCTTCAAATTAAGGGAACAGCTGTCCATAGGTAGAAGCTACAATGCTAACAAAGCGAGTTATGCAGGTGAGATAGACAGCATTCTTTTTTATGGTTTGTCTACATCAGACTTCAAAATGCTGTGATCACAGCCAAGGTAATAAAAAGATTCCTGCATATAATTAAGACCTGTAAATTTGAAGTACCGTAAGGAAGGGCTATTTGAGACAGTGGGCTATTTGAGACAGTATTTAAAATTGCTATAAAATAAAAACCACTTAAAATTTATGCTGAATTTTTTGCTCAGGCCATTTACTGCTCGATTCCACACCTCCCTGAGCAAAAATATCACACAAAAATCAAACGATCTTCATTTTATAGCGATTTTAAATACTGTCTCAAATAGCCCCACTGTCTCAAATAGCCCCACTTTACGGTACCTATCTAATTGTCTCAGCAAAGACAATAGTGTTCAGTGTGCCTTATCCATTCCCTGCTCCTGAATTGTAAAGATAAAATAGAAATACAAAATGAGGACATGGAAATGTCATTCCCATCATGTTATAGTGGCAAAGGTGATACAAATATACGGGCTAAATGTTCATAATCACAATGAGACAATGAAGTTGTTTTGAAAGCGCTTTTTCTGCTATGAGCTAATGACCCTAAATAATACATCAGAAAGCACAGCAGCATCAATGTCAGGTCTCAGGAGCTACTGATCTTATTGCACTGTTAAGTAAAATTTAATTTATGATAGCAGATTCCTTCAAGCTCATCAATGAAAAGCCTGAAATGAACAAAAGAAATGAACAAACTGAGGTTCACAAGCAGAATGAAATTTCATCAATGCTTTAGAGTTTTAAAAGTTCTGCCATCATCAAATAAAAAGACTAGGTAGGTACCAATAGACATCTTTGGGCATTAGTAAAGCAGATGTCACATGGAGGTTTTATAACCAAAGAGAGGTACTGTAGATTTGTAGGTTTGTAGGTTGTGGGTTGTAGGATAGGTTAGGTTAGGTTAGGTCAGGTCAGGTCAGGTCAGGTCAGGTCCAGTTAGGTTTGTTTTGGTTTGGTTAGAAGGAAGCATCACTGAGTATAGTGCCTCTTCTTTGTTAAAAACATTTCTGTAACGTCTGCTCTACCAATAACCATATTTGTTACCTAGGTAACAAAGATAGTTACATTACAAGCAATTGCCAATACCGACACCATTAATGACCGACTATTCAACAGACATCAATAAAGTTAAAAACAATACCCTTTATATGACCAAGCTCAGGACTAAAAATGAAAAATAAGGAAAATAATGATGGGATTGATTTAAGGACATATGAAAGACAAAGAGCCACACCAACACAAAGGAATGGGACAAAGAAAAAAGATAAACAGAGTAACTCAGAGTAACTTCTGATTGCAATTCAGTGCAAAGCATCCAACAAATCTGTTTGATGTTAGCATAGAAATAAATTGCTAATTTCAATATAATCAGTGCAACACCAAGCAAGATCCACGCAAGACGAACCTGACAAAAAATTGCAAAATGGAAATGAAAATAAAGCTGCTTCTTCTCCCAGATGTTCTGTCAGCATGAAATCTTGAGATGTTGAAAAGTTAACAGAATCATCTATGGAATTCACTGTAAATATTCATCTAAATGTAGGTCTCCAACCGGAGACCTAGAAGTCAAGAAAAATGTAAGAGAAAACTCGTCAACACACCACCCACTTGATTCTCCACCTCGGTAGAAGCGGGTAGAATGTCCCTGCGGGGCAGTAGACTTTCTACCGTTGTCATATTTCTACAAACATGACGCTTATTTTTATTTGGTTTTTGATTTGAAAAGTTTGAGCAGCAATCAAACATAAAAAAGCTCCTTTTTACCCTCATCGTTGTCATATTTACAGCTACACATGATAAAATTATCCTTTACGATCTATAAGCAATCACTGTTTAGTATTGACGTCAGTAAAAAATAATAAATCGAAATGGCTAGTTTGCTTCATAAATGACGCGTTTCGGACAAACATAATGCTGTTTGATACGTTTTTTATTAACGTAAAAAAGATATTAAATGACGTATTATATTGCAAGCAAACATTTATTTCCTTGATATTTAAAAATAATTCTTGTTTGAAATTTTGACTTTGATGATTCACACAAAATAAGTTTACAATTAGGAATCGTATGGATACTGCTGGCCCAAAAAGTACAATATTGAACATTTGACGTCATTTCTACCGTAAAAAATCAAATAACAAACGGAGATCAAGCCTAGGATTTCATGGGGGATTTAGGCCTTCCGTTCATGGAGCCCTCGCTATTTTCGATCTTTCTGAAAATTGGGTTGCGCCCAAATGATCCTCTCGATCCTCTCCCTTTCCACGCGTTACGCCGGCAGCTTGAGGAGTGCCATCAAAATGCAGCGTCCGATTTCTACCGTTATCAAGGGGCCTTTCAACTTCGTTGAGAACGCACGATGCGAACCAGTTGACAAATTCAACGACGTCGATAATCTGGAGCCATCCTCGGGGAAGGTCTTGCATAAGTTTGGAAGTTCCGGAGCCAACGAAGTGAACCGGGCTGTCGAGGCTGCTAAGAATGCTTATGAAGAATGGAGCAAAGTAAGTGGACCCTTGCAGTGGGTCGCATGGGCGGGCCGTACTATTTTCTGTCCAAAACGCCAGCTAGCTCCGTATGGTGGTGCTAGCAAAGCTTGTTTTATATCAATACCAGAGACGAATAACTTAATATCCATCTTTTAATGTTTCTATGAGTGCCATTCTACGTGTTCATGTTCATTTCGTACCGTGTTTATATCAATAAATAACATAGCTGTCGTACATCACCAGCTGGCCAGCCAGCTGATTTTATCCAGTTGTTAGTAAGGCCAGCCTGGGCCCTTATCTTGAGACCAATTTGAAGATTGGTGTTCTGTTATGGAGTGATCATATGTGAGGCCTTGCATGAATCTCTGTTTGCTAATTCTTCCATTGTTAACTTTTTGTTCTATGGTTGCAGCTGACTGCTGGTGAAAGAGGTGTTTTTCTGAAGAAGGCTGCCAACATAATAGAGAGCAATGTGGAAGCTATTGCCAAGATGGAGGTTCAAGACTCAGGAAAACCTATTTGGGAGGCCAGGATTGATGTGCAGTCTGTGGCAGACACACTTAATTATTTTGCTTCCGTGGTCCCAGAAGCTATGAAGGGTAAGTTGTAGCTTAAAGTGTGGCTCAAAATCATGTGTATGGTGATTGGGATTGAGTAGGTGTTAAGGATATAGCTGCATGCTTAGTTTATACAATCCCATACAGCTAAATACTGACACTGCTTGTGTGCACACAATAGATGAAACATTTGCTTGAATATGGCTTCAGTGCATCAGAAATCACAACATTTTATGCATTGCAATTTGAAAGCTGGATTATCTGACAAGGTGGCCTGATTTCTGTTCCAGGAACCTACAGTCCTCAGCCAGGTGGCTCATATGCCCTTGTCCAGAGGGAGCCTGTTGGAGTCTGTGTGGGAGTGGGAGCCTGGAACTATCCCATCCAGACCTGTGTCTGGAAGGTGAGTGAGCAGCAGCCATTGGCTATTTTACTGTGGCACCTTTTCTTCTTTACGTCAGTTTCCAGTTTTGTTTATCTTCTGTGAACAGCTTTAAAGATTATAGATTGCTTTGATTTTCGAATAAATAAAGCTAATGTTTACTTAGATTAAATGTGGAACTTTCTTTTATTAAGTCTTATTGGCTCCTAGAACTTCTGACAACTCTATGATTCTATCTAAGACACGACACACAATCATGAAGCATCTGCCTGCCGAATGCGCCCCTCACTGACCCGACCCTCGTCGTGTGACCCTGCCCCGGCCGTGACCGCAGACGGCGCCGGCTCTGGCCTGCGGTAACACGTTCGTGTACAAGCCGTCGCCGCTGACCCCGGTCACCGCCGTGGTGCTGGGAGAGGCGCTGGCCGCCGCCGGAGTTCCCTCAGGAGTCTATGGTGTGGTCCAGGTCAGTGGGTGCCTTCGGAAAGGTGTTGGGGTGGAGATGCGAGGTTCGACATGTGTGGGGTCGCTTTCTCCAAAGTAAGCTCCGCAATACGTTACTTCTACCGATAATCACAACTGCAAGTGAAAGGCACCGGGTAATCGCCAGTGCTTTACATGCCTGACATGGCATCGATTTCCAACGCAATAGGTGACTTACAAACATATTTATATGCATCATCAAATGCCGGAAATTCATTATCGGCAAGCAGAGTAGCCGTATCTCTCGCCAAATTACTGACGGAGAACACGTGGACATCGTCACCCTGACCGTCAATACCCATCCACACTCCACAGGGCGAGGGGGAGACGGGCCATCTGCTCTGCTCGCACCCCGACGTGGCCAAGGTCTCCTTCACCGGCTCCGTGCCGACCGGCAGCAAAATCATGACAGACGCCGCGGCATCCATCAAAAAGGTTCGTGTTCATCGGGCTTGGATAAAGCCGGGAGCGCCGCTGAAGTTGTTAATAGGGTTGGTGGTAGCAACCGAATGGGGAGTCCAGATTGCGGTAGGTTTGGGAGGGGTTTCACAAAAACACTAATGATCTTTTTTTTCCACTCTTGCGCTCGGCCTCTAGGCGATGAATGATGCATTCGTTTCATACCTCTGACAATGTACAAAAGCTATAAATGTACTACATAATAGTCCCTCTGGACCATCCCCGTATGAGCTCTGTTTCATTCCATTCTGACACGCCGCCGGACACTCCGCTGTCGCCGACCAGACGCGGACACTCCTTGTCATAAATCAGAGACACATTCCGAGCTGAGTCCCGCCAGACGCCCAGTTACTGTAGCTGCAGTGTCCTGGTCAGCGGGCATACAGCGTAGGGTTCTGGTCGGCGGGCAGAGTCCATTATTACCACATACAGCGGGTACCATGCGTCATATGTGTGACCAAGGTCACACAGATGGTAACTGTGAATAGCCGAGAGAAAAGAAAAGCGGAAAGGGACAGCTGAATGATGCGGAGGAGTCAAGCCGTTTTTATTCGTCGAATTTAATCGATAGTCTTTCAAGTTTGTTTCAAGCGTTTTATCATGATGCTTTGGGCAGTCATAAATGTACCGGGAACTACGTGATACACAGTTTTCAATTTTGCCAATATTTTAAATCAATTTCACTGTTGCGGCGTTTTGCGACGCACAAGGAAGTCAAAACCCTAAAATGTTGAGCAATGCCCAGTCTTCCGATAATATTTTTTCAGAACCTAGCTCCATAGCCCCAACACTCAGAGGCCCAATTGTCTAGTTTGTGTCCGTCTAACCCGGCTCTCCTCGGGCCATCCCGCCAGGTCACCATGGAGCTGGGCGGTAAGTCGCCTCTCATCATCTTCGAGGACGCCGACATCACCAACGCCGTCAGAGGAGCCATGCTGGCCAACTTCCTCTCCCAGGGACAGGTGGGTGCAGTCAGAATTTGGTTCATTTGTGGCATCAATGTACAGAACAGCAGTTAAAACTGTCCTATGGAAAGCAGTCTCGACGTTTCTCATTGACCGTTTAATTTGGATACGTCGTGCAAAGGAAAAATGAGTCATAACAACAGGTTTTACGCCTATGATTCGGTAGTGGAGCTTCTAAAAGCTTCACTTCTATCAATGTGCGACACCCGACACTCTAACTGGCCAGCAGGACAATATCTCTGGAGCCCGTTGTCGGCCTTTGCCTCGGGTCTGTGTTACGGTCCACAGCCAGACCTGCGGCACATGTGTTGCCTCTCACAACACATATAAACACTTGGCCGAGTGTAAACAAAGGCTAGATGGTGTCCGAGCGACCTCCCACCACAGGCCTAGGAACACTGGGTCCGCTTTTCGGAGAATGTTACCAAGTTTAGCGACCGGCTGTAGCAGAATGGAAACCAATAATAAATGTTTGTAATTGTAATTTTTTTTCAATGTTCCCCGATTATCGTGTCCGCAGGTCTGTAACAATGGCACTCGGGTGTTTGTGCAAAAGTCGATCAAAGAGAAGTTCACCGCCGCCCTGGTGGAGGCGTGTAAGAAGCTCAGAGTCGGCGACCCGATGCTAGATGACACCACCGTCGGCGCCACCGTCTGCAGGCAGCAGTTCGACAAGGTGCTCGGCTTCATCGAACGCGCCAAGAAAGAGGTAAATGGCGTACGATGTTCGTCGAAACATGGAGTATTGATTGTATGATCAAATTATGATGGGAATGATTGCAAGGGGACCGAGAAACCAGGTGTGGTTGGGTCTGGCGGATAGCGGGACACGGCGCCAAAAACTGCGATGTTTTAGTGCGCCCGCTCTTTTGTGGTGATTTGACCGGTACGTCTCTCGTGTCGTGCAGGATGCTATCGTACCCTCGGGCTAGACAGGTGGTGGTGTGACCTGAGCTGAAGTTTCTGGGCGGTGGGGTGTTTTGCGGCTTGCGGTTTGTATGAGATGACCTGACACGTCTCTTGCGTCCCTCCCCCAGGGCGCTATATGGTGTAATGCGGCGGTAAGCAGGTGACCTGACAATTCTTTCTCTCCCTCAGGGCGGTAAGATTCTCTGCGGCGGTGAGCAGGTGACCCTGCCTGGCGACCTGTCGGGCGGCTGCTACCTGCAGCCCTGCATCGTCGACTGCCCGTCGGACTCGATGGAGCTGGTCAGAGAGGAGGTGTTCGGCGCCGTGCTCGCGCTGCTCGAGTTCTCCACAGAAGAGGAGGTGGTGCGGCGCGCCAACGACACGCGCTACGGACTCTCGGCAGGACTGTTCACGCGGTGAGAGACGCGCGTGCGAGCCCCGAGGGGATGCTGGAGGGTTTGGGCCTTGGGGTTGGCGGTGCTGACAGGCAGGGCGAATGGATTTGTTCACCACCAAGATAAGAAAGAGGTTCTTAAGTTCACTGAGCTAATTGCATCTTGTTTTGAATGAAGATCAATGCCATAATTGCCATAGTTTTTGTGACTAAAGGGCAGGTGTCCGTATGAATCAACTGTGGATGTTTTTGTACTCTTTTATCGTTGATAGTTGTCCTTCCATTATCAACTTTGAGTTGTAGGAAGGTCACACGTTCCCATTTATTGACAACCTCTCCCCGTCCGTTCCCAGGGACCTGTCGCGGGCGCACCGCGTCATGTCTCGGCTGCAGGCGGGCGCCTGCTTCATCAACACCTACAACGTGATGCCGGTGGGCGTGCCGTTCGGCGGCTACAAGATGTCCGGCTTCGGCCGCGAGAACGGGGTCGAGGCCGTGGCCAGCTACACCCAGCTCAAGTCCGTGTACGTCGAGACGGGCGACGTGGACGCCGCGCCGCTCTGCGATTAGGCGGCGCAGGGAGCTGAAAATGTGGGCGCCGCTCTGCCAAGGAGGGGATGCTCCAGGCCAGTGGTTACCCATTACACTCATCAGGGCAGTGTGCAGGGGAGGTGCAAGAATGATGGCTTGGGGATTAAGAGGTGAATGTCATTGGAGGCAAGATGGCATGGCTAATGGAGGAGAGACATATGAGAAGTGGTGACCGACCAGTTTCTGTGGCAGTGTGTTATGGGGACCAGTGGGTAGATGAAGGGGTAGTTGGCCATATGTTCACTGGGATAGATGGTGTGTAAAACCTGTGCCATGGTGGTATTAGTTAAAGTGGGGTGTTAGGGGCAGTGTAGTTTATTTTGCATTGAGTTTCTGGAAGCTAGGATATCATAGCTCAATTAGCTTAATGCAAATATCTTTTTTACTCATTTTATTTGAGTTCATTTTATTGATTTGGCATCGCAAGCAGTGAATAACTGCTGTATTATTATGGACACACTTTCAGCAAGTGTCTTGAGCAGGCTTTGTGACCTGTAGAACTATGATATGTTTTTTCACTGTTACCAATGCCTAGCAAGTACTCTATAGCATGTAATGCATCTCTCAGGTTACTAGCTTTGCTTCTTATTATTTGCTTGTTTTCCAAACCTTGTGTCATTATCTCTATGATTATTACCATGTGCAATGTTGGGTTGAATTGTGCAATATGGTTTATTTGCTTCAGCCTTGCCAGTGCATCTATCTATACTACAGTATAAAACAAAGGGGCGCAGATGACAGGTGCACCTTGCTCTGCTGTTTTGCTTTTGCGCAGTGGGCCATACTCGCAGGCTTTGTTATACTTGTAGAGAGCATCAGCAACTAAGCATACTTGTCTCTATTGTGAGAAGTGTTCAATGTGAAATAATGCATAGTGAATGTCTCTGCTCACAATAGCATGCATAAAGAAATACATCCTTGTTTTTCTTTCATTTTGGTTCATAACATACTAGTGCAATTTCCCACTTGTATTTAAGGGCCATGTAGTGGTTCACACATGGCATTGAAAATCCTCACCAGATATGCTCAATAATAAGATGTCATCAAAGCGAAGCAATGCACAATTTATTTTGTTCAACTTGGTTTATGCAAACATTATGAATTCTGAGTGAAATTGAACCCTACCTCACTATCAACCCTTATTGTTGACAAAAAAGGGAAAACAGTGGCAACTTCACCTGACTTTCAGCGAAAAAAGAAACTAACAGCCAAGTGCCAACAGTCCTCCCACAAAGAATAGGAGCATTCCACCAAATATCATTCTTGGAGACTAGCTTATGTCATGAAATAGCTACCTTCAGTCACTCAGAAATACTCAGAAATATCACAATACAACCTTACGACCTTACACATTACAACCTTACGAAATCCACCTGTAAAATAAAATATCACGATATACGACTTCGATCACGATTCGGACGCCGGTGAAAACAGGGCGCCGGAGGGCATATTAGTCACGTGACATTTGGAGCTTCTCCCCCCTCCAAGGGCCTTCAAGATGCTAAATGTCACGTGTGAATTTCACGAACCTTGATCAAATCGCCCCAGGCGCCCTGTTTTCACCGTCGTCCCACGATTCTTGCGTGCCAGTGCTAGCTGCTAAGGTGCTAAGCACGGTATGTGCTAAGGGTGCTAAGCACGATGCTAAGGCAGTCATTTTCGCGAATCGTGACAGATTAGACAAGTATTTGGCGCAGTACATCTTGACCATCTCTATTCCCGAAATACTTTTATCAAAATGACGTATATAAAATGAAAGTGAAATTTGAATAAAAAATTGATATCTTTATATTTTCTGTTGTTTTTAACAATATACAAATAGAAAACAAGAACAAATATGATTGATAAAACGCAAAAAAGACAGCAAAAAGTTTGATATGACGTCAGATTTATTGTCGACTTTTACTTCTGCTGGCTGTCTGCTTGTTGTGTTGGAGACAATTATTGCGCAGACTCAGTGTTGTGGCGGGAGCCGTGCGGGGAGGTTGTGTTACGCGTCGCTCGTGGCAGTGCTGGTTTTATGTCGATTAGTTTATGGACGTTGATCATCGTGGGACTGGTGTCAGGGCAAGCAGATTGTGGCTGTAGCCTGGAAACTGAAAACTGGCTCTAATTACGTCCAGGGTGAAAAATACCATTGCGTCTACCGTTCGCCCGCTTCAGCTTGCACCAGCACCGTTTTGCGCTTGAGGCCGGAAGGAACCGTGCTGCCTTCTGGTTCTAGCAGAACCTGGACCTTTATATCCATATATGCGTGTGTGGTGACTGGTGCTCTATAACTTAAGTTTTATCGAATCTTGATTTGTCATCGTTTCACGCGCTTCCTAAGGGGATGACTTGTTCTCTGCATGAGGTATCACAAACAACAATATTTGTACATTAAGACCATCTTGATATTATCTGTGCATCATGGGTAATGCTGAAAGCATAGCTGAAAGAGAAGAATACAGAAGAACAATGGAGAAACGTTTGAATAACTACTCGTCCAGTATTGTGCCGGGCACTGTCGCCACGTCAATCTCGATGAAGGTCCCGATGCCTGACCAGGAGACGCTCGAGGAGAGGTTCAATCGAGTTTTGGTAAGTTAAAACTATGCTCCGGACGAAAGGATTTATTGTGTTGCAGGGTTCAAATGGACATTTTACGGGATATTTGAATATCTGCTCGATATGAACTGGCCGTTTTTTTATTTTTATGTCTGTTGACTGTTGGTGTCCGTCTGTTGTTTTTCCCGACCGTAGCTGAACACCGACTGCCCGCTGCATCCAAGTAGGGATTATTTAATTTGTCCTTAACAAGTTATTGGATTCGAAAATGATGTGTAAATGAACTTACCTATTTCCTGGGTTAGAATCTACGCTAAGTAGAGCTTGGATCGGGATTGCGAAGCTGAAGTACGCACCAGTATTTATCATTAGTCTGTGTCACATTGAGTCTGCGGGAACCCATAACTCAACACCTACAGACTTTAATCGGTATTAGTGCTTGAGACATAACGGGCATATTATTGTCCACAAGTCAAGCTCACGAGAACAGCCCGGCAGGGTCGTTTAGGGCCGTGCGGCTGCGGCATGGACGGGGGAGCTGCGTCACATGTCAGCTGCGTCAGCGCGGGTTCTAAGATAACCCGCTTCATTTGATCTTTTCAACAATCAACACGGGTCGTATCGTAAGATGGCCCCCTTATTTGACCTTTTCAACAGGGGTTTTACGCCCTACGGTGGCCGGCTGAGACTGCACGGGTCTCAGAAACCGATGCTGAACTCCGATCGGGCTCCGATCTGTAACATTACGCCCCGCCTGGGCCGGCCGATGTTGTGATGAGCGCTGACAGGAGGTCGACCGATACCATCAGCTATTTCGGCGCCCGGCCGGCTCAGCTCAGCAGCTCAGCACCGGTCAGCGCTGACCGCGCGGCACCGGAGCCGCTCGCCGGCGGTCAGCGGCCGGTCAGCGGGAACTCGGGGCTGTTGTTGTTCCTCTCCACCGCCCAAGACGAAACCAGACACCGCCGAGGGGCTTTGTCCGGCCGTGAGCTGCCAAGCTTTGTCCGGGTGCCGAGCTTTGTTTGCCTTGCGAAAGCTTTGTCAGCCTCGCTGTGGGCCGTAGCGTTTTGTTCGGCCTTGCGTTCAACTGCGGAGGACGGGTGCGCTGGACGAAGAAAAGCAAACATGTTGCGTCCTGGTGGTGGTGGTGGGACGGACTGCGCTGCGGTCTGCAGAGCTCCACGAGCCGGGAGGATTAGCGGGAGAGTTGGAGAGAGGCAGACAGATGGAGAGAGGAGAGAGGGACGTTCTGGGAGCAGAGGGATGCTTTGACCTAGCGCGGCGGTATTTCGGCCGACACACGATCTTGCGGTAACTGCTGCGAACATTCTGCGTGCGGTGCTGTTACACTCAACTATGGGAGTCAGAGGGGCCGTGGGATCGCCCCCAGCGCCCGGCCACCGACCTGGCCCTGGCCGGGGTTCTCACTAGTTCACTGCTACTGACACCGGCTCGTTAGCGGGTACCTTACAGCCTCGGGGACGCGCCTATAACAGCCCCCAGTCAAGCTTCGCTCGCTGGTTCGACGCATTGGTTCAAAACGCACTCAAATGAGCTCATGGCAACAACGAATGGGTGGTCTATCTGAAGAGTCGATAGTCAGCCAAGCCTGACATTCTCCCCAGATTTTCTTAAGCCATCCGGCTTTCAGTTATTTCACTGTCACCGAATCGCACCGTCCAATTTGCGGCCTCAGGCTCCGGATTTAGCCCACAAATGCCGGTGGTGAGAGGTGCCCATCCAAATCCCGCGGCGCTGAGCGGATTGTCGACTTGTCAGCCAGTGGACAGGTGCTTACCAAGGCCGGGCAGCCGCTTAACGGGAGGTTTTCACTAATCTGAGGGTGTGGGCCATCCGAGGGGTGGCGCGGGGTGGGGTTTGCCCGCGCGCTGCAGCGCCCCTGACCCCGTGTCGGCGAACCGCTATTCACGCTGTTCGACAGAGAGTCATGGCTCAGCCGGTGCCGATTTTCAGAAGTGATCCGACCCTGCACCCGTGCCCAGCTTTGATGGCTCCGTTACTGAGCGCTAGTGTTTGGCTTCAGTGCCGACTTCAGAGAGATATCTGCTCGTGGTTGCACGGAATGAGGCGTGGTTGGCAGCGAACGAGTGATATTGGTTAAACACGGGTCGGGTTTATGCCAATATGACTCGTTTGTGTTAGATGTGAGATCCAGCAAAGCGGACGCATCTTTCAATGCCGTGCTGCTTATTGACCGTGGCCTGACATTGAACACTCGTTCGTCCACCTTTCATCTAATCCAGCCGAGCTGAGCAACGCTCGCCGTCTATGGAAACCGCACAAAAAACACGTGCGCTTGTGAAAGCATTCAGCCGCCGTGTCATCTGGCCGGCCTGCCAGGGGCCGCTGTGGAGCCACCTGGCTCATCCGTTGTGTCACAGAACTTGTGTCACTTCATTGTCACTCTTTGGACTGCCGGCTGGACGCTGATGACAAGCAGTAAGAATTCACCGAACTTAGCTGGTGTCGGAGGCGGTCGGCCTCGTTAGTGACATGGGCGGGCGAAGATGATTGCCGTCTTCATTCCGTCTCGTTAGGGAGCACGATCCCGCCCGCCCATCTGCAGGGCGAGCCAGTGTTCCTTACAACTCCCGCCATGCTGGGGCGTGGGGTACGGAGGCTGAGACACGCTGTGGTTCGCCATGAAAGGCACGGGCTCAGGGCTGACGGAGGGGTCAGGGGTGGCATTCCTTGCCGACTGCAGGGTCGAGGTTAGAGCCAACTCGCTCACCGTGAGCCGGTTTCACGTGCATTCCAGGCCGTGCACGGCGGTCACGTGCCGTCACGTGCAGGAGGCACGTGCGGCGCGGTTTACCTGCATTGTCCGTGCCGGCATCTTGGGAGGACCGACCATGGAGCTCAATCGGAAATCGGAAATCGGTGCAAAGCTTTTACTGGAATATGGAATGGGGATTGATTGTGGTATGGTGGTGAAATGAACATTGATTGACGTTTTTCAATGGCTCGACTGTCGTCGCTAACTGGCGAAAACAGTAACTGGTTACTTTGAGTATACATAGACTGGTTGCTTTCTAGCAGAATCCTGCGTCTGAAGTCTGAACTATACATGAATGCTTGTGGAGCTCAGCGCAAGCTTTGGTATATTCTCCTCATACCGTGGACTCACTATGGGTTTTCCTAGCCTACACTAGCCCAGCTGGGGAACAAGATCTGCTCGTTCGGTTGACTGCCGATTTGTTTTCCAGTCTGCTGCTGATCTTGTTTTTATTGTTTACCGTGCCTGCAGTTGGTTAGTTTTGTAGCTGCTAGTTGCAACGTGGCTACTGCAGCATCTGCTTGTACAACGGGTGCTGCTTGAAATATTTGTCCTTGTGATGGCATTGGGGCAGTGGCGGCGGAAGCG